AGCCAGACTTGATTGTTCCCGGCCATGTGTAGCCGCGCAGCACGGAGTCCGAACTAGCCGGCATTTAAAAATGGCGCCAGCCGGCTTCGTGCAAATGAAGCCCAGGAAATTCAAATCCCGGGCTTCATTTGCAACTCCGTATGACTACATTACCCCCCCTAGTTCGAACTAGGGGGGTAGTGTAGACATACCCTCCCTGACTAAACCACAGCGGGTCTCTGCCCGGAGCAGTGAGCGCAGAGCTGGCCTGCACACAGCGCTTGCTCTCCCACAGCTGCCTCTTGTTACCCTCCTGGGCCCAACCTAGTAGCTCACATTGCTGGAGCACCCTGAGTCAAATGGAACCCCCCAGCCTCCCACCCCATGGCATGGCCCACATGGGAGAGGCAAGCAGCTAGAGGAACAATAGCAATGCAAGGCCTGAGGAGGAGGGCCTGCCGCCTGGCACTCAGTGCTGTAGGGGGGCGAGGTGTCTGGAGTAGCACAAATCCTAGGAGCGTGGAACGTGTGGTGAAAGCATGGAGGGAAGGCCAGGTGGCCAGCATAGGTGCGTCTTGGGAACGTGCTATTGGGTTTTAGAGGACCGGGCGCTTGTCCGGGGGAGAGAGATGGGCCACCTCATAGCACAGACGGGGAGAGCCAGCAATCCACCAGCGTCTCTGAGCAGATGCCACGTGTCTCCCTGACTTGCTCTGCTAGAGTCACAGAGAGTCCAGATGACTTTCTAACCGGTGTCATTCTTTCCCGATCTGCCCCACAGCATCATGCTTGCTCCATGACACCTACTGTGCCTGCCCCGATCCATCTCCTAGCACCACACCTGCCCTGACACTCCCCAGTGCCCCAGCCTGGGTCTGCCCCACAGAACCACGACTGCCAAGAGCCACCCCTCACCTCTACCCTGGCCCTGATTTCAACAAACCACCAGCATCATCGAACAGCATCATGGAAAGCAGAACATTTTGGGGCAAGTTTCTGAGGAAAATGTGGGAGGGTTGTAAAAAAGGCCTTTTGTCAACAAGAAAACCATGTAATGCAGAAAATTCCCACCGGCTCCCAGGCGTGCAGACATCCCCAGCCCTCAACACGCAGACGCACTAATGCCACACACGTGTGCTTCCACTGCCTTGCGTAAGCTGGCACGCCTATGTGCACAATCTCAGGTGCTCCCACTGGCATCCCTATCTCACTGGCCCCACGCCTACACACACATAAGTACACAGTCAGACGCGGGATTGCCCGTTACACGCGTAGATGGCCATTTACACAGCCCGGTGCTCGTCTGCGATGGCGCACATGCTCTCCCTGGCTATCCCACCCACAGCCACCACAAACATCAGCCCCTCCCTGGCGATGGCATTCACGCACACGCTCCTACAGCCACGCAGCCTGCCGTTCCCACAGCATGCACACCTGCGGAGACATGCTGCCCATGCCCCCAGCCCAAGCACCTGTCTGTGGAGGGATAAGCTGAGCTGGGGGAGAGCAGTGCCCCGGGAAATGGCTTTACCTGTGTAGAGAGAGATGGAGTTGGAGTCGATCACTTCAAACTTCAGGCTGGGCAGGAACACACGCCACTGGAAGAGAGGGAGAAAGAGGAGAATGAGAATCACGGTGGGGTGTGCATATCACGCTGGCCTCCCAGCCAAAGCAGTCTGGCATACCAGCAGGAAGCAAGAGGCTGCCCCAGTATCCCTACGGCCACATGCGTCCACTCGACACATCTCTCTGTGTCATCTTTCTTGGCTGCCAAGACTGTAGGGGAGAAGAGGCTGCCCAAGTCCACAGCACGCTGCCCATGTGACACTTCCCCTCTCTGGGAAACAGGAAGCAGCTATGCCCAGAACTCTGCTGCCGGGTAGTATGCCCCTAGGCCTCCGCCCCATCTGTGTGGGGAGCAGGAAGGTGCCACTCCAAAGTGGAACACCAGATTGTGCAGTGCTGATGCCCTCCAATTCCGATTGCAGCCTGGGACACATCAGGGCACCATTTCAGATTTTGGTTGGGGAGGGCCACTTTAATCATGATTCTAGGTGCTATTTATACAAATAGCTGGGATGATGTTTTCCAATATCCTTTACTTTGCATTTATCAATGTTGAATTTCACCTGCCATTTTGTTGCCTTCTCACCCAGTTCTGAGAGATCCTTGAAACTATCTTGAGCAGTTTTGTATCGTTTGTCATCTCACTGTTTACCCCTTTCTCCAGATCACTTATGAATACATTGAATAGGACTGGTCCCAGTATGGACCCCTGCGGGACACCACCAGTTACCTCCTTTCATTCTGAAAACTGACCATTTTATTCCTACCCTTTGTTTCCTATCTTTTAACCAGTTATTAAACCATAAAAGGAGCTTCCCTTTTATCTCATGACAGTTTACTTAGGAGCCTTTGGTGATGGACCTTGTCAAAGGCTTCTGCAAAGTACACTATATCCTCTGGATCCCCCTTTGTGGAAGCAGGCTCTTTGCTGGCCAGGCCTCTCGCGCGTATTGCCATCCAAGCAAAAGGTCAACTTCCCCTTGATGAAAACCCTTACACTATGTAACTTAAAGATCAGCGACGAACAGGAACCAAAACCAGACCTGAAAAGTTCATGTAAAGTTCGTGCTGGTTGTGCTGACTGTGCCATGCCCAATAAGGCAGAAAAGGAAAAACAGGAAACCATCTCACCCCCTTACCCCAGTCACTTAGCAAACAGGGTCTGCTAGCCTATCACAAAAGTGTGCAAAAGCTCTCTATAAAACGGCTACCCCTCCTATATTAAATTGAGGAATCCCGAATAAACATTGGATGGCAGAATATGAGCCAGGCCCAAGGACTGATCACCCGAAGGCCACCTCCCGCTCACCAAACCAGAATTCCTGTAGAGCGTAACGTATACCAACTATGCTGTTGTTGCTGTTGTACTTTGTGTTTTTTCTAAGTGTGAGTATTGCTATCTAAACTTAGTTAAAAGTTTTGTTAAGTAGTATTGTTAAGAGTTTTAGATAAGTAATTAGACTTACGAGTAAGATTAATGTAAACATAACTGTTGATAATCCCTGGTCCCTTATTGACAACTACTGGGACTTAGAAAAAGCTCAGGGAATTTTCATTTATTGTATTGCACTTTTCTTATTGCTCCTACTAATAGTTATTTGGCGGCCACGCATGTAAGAGACTAATAAAGAAAAACTATAATTGGAAGTATTCTAATAAAAGTTTAAAAGATATTTAGTAACAGTTTGCCTGTTTCTGCGCCTTCCTGCGACTAGCCACATTTCTGACCCTTTTACTTTAAACCACACCCTTGTCCACATGCTTGTTGACTCCCTCAAAGAATTCTAGTAAATTGGTGAGAAATTATTTTCCTTTCCAAAAACCATGTTGACTTTTCCTTATGCTCATCTATGTGTTTGACCATTTTGTTCTTTACTATAGTTTCAATCAGTTTGCCCCGTACTGAAGTTAGACCTACTGGCCTGTAACTGCTAACATCACCTCTAGATCTCTTTGGGTGCATCTACACTGCAGGGCTTAACTCGAAATAAACTACACAAATTGAGCTACATGAATTGCGTACCTTATTTCGAAATAGCTTATTTCCAAATAGGTAGCGTCTACACAGCACTTATTTTGAAATAGAGCACTCTTCCTCTGACTTCCCTTACTCCTCATACAATGGGGGTTACAGGAATTGGAGGAAGAAGTCCTCCATCTTGACAGTATTTTGACACATTTCGAAATAACTGCCTGCTGTGTAGACACGGACTAAGTTATTTCGGAATAGTGCTAGTTATTTTGACATTGTGTTGCAGTGCAGATGTACCCTTTCTAAAAAAGGTGTCACATTAGATATCCTCCTGTCATTTGGTAAAGAATCTGATTTAAAGCATAGATTTTAAACCACAGTTGTAGTTCTGCAATTTCATATGTGAGTTTTTCAGAACTCTTGGGTGAACGCCATCTGGTCCTGATGATTTATTACTATTTAGTTTATCACTTTGTTCCAAAACCTCCTCTGACACCTCAATCTGGGACAGTTCCTAAAATGTGTCACTTAAAAAGAATGACTCAGATTTGGGAATCTCCCTCATGTCATCCGTTGTGAAGATCGATGCAAAGAATTCATTTTGTTTCTCCATAATGATTTTATCACCCTTGATTGCATCTCAATCATCCAGTGGCTCCACTGGTTGTTTAGCAGAATTCCTGCTTCTGATGTACTTAAAACAATTGCTAGTGCTTTTTGAGTTTTTGGCTAGCTGGTCTTCAAAATCTTTGTAGGCTTTCCTAATTATATTTTTACACTTTACTTGCCAGAGTTTAGGCTCCTTTCTATCGTCCTCACTAGGATTTAACTTCCACTTTTTAAACGATGCCTTTTTATCTCTCACTGCTTCTTTTACTTGATTGTTAAGCCACGGTGGCACTTTTTTGGTACTCTTACTACATTTTTAAATTTGGGGCATACATTTAAGTTAAGCCTCTATTATGGCATCTTTAAAAAGTTTCCATACAGCTTGCAGGGATTTTACTTTTGGCCCTGTACCTTTTAACTTGCTTAACTAACCTCCTCGTTTTAGTGTAGTTCCGCTTCCTGAAATTAAATGCCACAGTGTTGGGCTGCTGTGGTACTTTTCCTGCCACAGGGATGTTAAATTTAATTACATTATGGTCACTATTTCCAAATGGTCCAGCTATGTCCACCTCTTGGACCAGATCCTGTGCTCCACTTAGGACTAAATAAAAAATTGCCTTTCCTCTTGAGGATTCTAGAACCAGATGCTCCAAGAAGCAGTCATTTAAGGTGTCCAAAAAAGTTCTCTCTGCATCTCGTCCTGGGGTGACGTGTACCCAGTCAATATGGGGAAGCCTGAAATCCCGCTAGTATTATTGAGGTTTTTATTTTTGTTGCCTCTCTACTCTCCCTGAGCATTTCACAGTAACTATCATCATCCTGGTCAGGTGATCGATAATATACCTCTACTGCTATATTCTTATTATCAGAGCATGGAATTACTACCCATATTGATTCTGTGGAACAGCCTGGTTCATTTCAGATTCTTCATTTGAGTCTATGCTTTCTTTCACATATAGTGCCACTCATCCTCCCCCCAAACCTATTCTGTCTTTCCAATATAATTTGTACCCTGGTATTACTGTGTCTCACTGATTATCCTCATTCCACCAAGTTTCTGTGATGTCTGTTATATGAAAATCCTCATTCAATACAAGGCACTCTCGTTCACTCATCTAATTATTTAGACTTCTACCGTTTGTGTATAAGCCCTTTAAAAACTTGTCTCTATGTAGCTATCTGCCATTACATGACGTGATTGAATGGACATTTGACTGTTTCTCATCAGACGTTACCTGTATTTTATCATGTTCCATCCTTTCCTCTTTAGTAGGACAGGGAGAATTTCTATTAATAGACCCTCCCCAGGGGATATCTCTGTCCATTGCATGTGCTTCCTGTATTCGTTAGCATTTCCGCACAGCCCTTAGTTTAAAAACTGTTCTACGACCTTTTTAATTTTGAGTGCCAGCAATCTGGTTCCCCATTCTGGTTTAGGTGGAGCCCATCCTTCCTGTATAGCCTCTCCCTTTCCCAAAAGTTTCCCCAATTCTTAATAAATCTAAACCCCTCCTCCCTACATTGTCGTCTCATCCATGCCTTGAGGCCCTGTAGTTCTGGCTGTTACTTGGCCCTGTGCATGGAACTGGAAGCATTTCAATGTTTTACCTAGCTGCCTAAATTTAGCTGTCAGTATCTCTTGCCTAGCTTCCCCTATGGCATTGGTACCTACTTGTACCACGACCACCGTCTCCTCCTCAGACTACACAAAAGTCTATTTAGATGTCTCAAGAGATCTGCAACCTTCGCCACAGGCAGGCAAGTCACCATACGGTTTTCCTGGTCATCACAAACCCAGCTGTCTATGTTTGTAATAATGGAATCTCCCATTACTAAGACCTGTCTCTTCCTAATGCCTGGAGAGAGAGAGATCCTCAGTGCCAGAAGACACTCCAACATCCTCTTGAACGAGGGTCTCAACTATGCGATGGTTTCCCTCTGCTCCAGTTGGATGTTCTCCTTCCCTGAGCCTTTCACCCTCCTCAACAACACAGGGGCTATCTGACCAGAGGTGGGACCATTCTACAGTGTCTCAGAAAGTCTTACTTATGTACCTCTCTACCTCCCTTAGCTCCACCCTGGTCTCCAAAGCCCGTACATGGTTTCAGAGGGCCAGGAGCTCCTTGCACAGAATGCACACATACGCCACCTGCCCACAGGCATACATACAACACTGGGTGCTATAAACTGGATAGCCCTCACTCTGCTGCTAGGCTTCTGTCTGCATTCTCTTTTCACTCCTAGAGCTTATTCCTTTCTTGATGGCTTTTTTGTTTTTTAAATCAGGTGGTTTTGGTTTTAGTTTAAAGAACATCAAGTGTTAAATGTATCTATCCCCCCCTCAAACTCTGCCTCTACACTCCCTCCCAAAACTCCCGTTAGCCCACACTTTGTTTCCTAGCTTTTGACTGGAGTACCTGCCAATGCTTTCGAAATCATCTAATGATCTTT